GTAACTTATGAGCACTGGGTTATGTGTGAATTGTACAATTTTATAATTTATCAGAACTCAAGATTTGTCAGAATAGCAAGCTCTTCCTCAGGCAATTGTCATCTTAACGTCTGCTAAATGTCAAGTTCAATATTAAAGAAATTTGAGTGAAAATCATTGCTCACATGGGAGGGGGAAACAACCATCAATCAGGGACTGCTTAAAAACAATTCCCACCCCCTTTATTGGCAAATTGAAAAAGAATTTGGGTAATGAAATTGCTCCCTAGTGATCAGAAAATATAAAATGATGATGGTTGTGGTGGTTAAACGAAGCATTTGGGATTCTGGGACTGCTTGGTGGATGGGGGTAAAGACCTGATTTATCTTTGGCAAGAGGTATAAATAAACCACAATAAATCTAGATCGAAACAGTCTAGTTTTAGAAGGTCAATGTGAAAATCAAACTATTGAAACTGCAGAAATATTGAGAATAAACCTGTTGATTCTTGATTTAAAGTATTTGATTATTTACGAGGACAAACTAAGGTAGTGACAGAGAGGAGTGACTTTTATTTTTGTAAATAGGACAGGTCATACTGTCTACACTTTATGAAAACACTCCTTCCTTTTATCAGTACAAAAAAGAAAGTAATTTGGATAAAATAAGTTTCTTTTGATATTTGTTTATGCTGTTAGAGTGAAAAAAGGATGAACAGAGGTTAAGATGGGGGGGGGGGGGGGGGGGGGGGGGAGTTTCATATGGAATCTTTCTATTGTATTTAGATTCAACAGTTGAAAAATTAACAATGTTATGTGACCTGCTTTGACCTGAGCAAAATCAATCCAATTTTTCTTTTTCGTATTCATCTTCCTTACGTGTGAAGACTTTAAATTGAATAATAAAAATGCCATTATTTCATTTTTAACTAAACTATATTGTTTGCCTGGCGACAACTCCCCAGATTGTGTAAAATGACCCCTATTTGTTACAATTCCTTCATAACTTGCTCCTTACTTTCCTTAGCTTAGTCAGTCTGTTGTATTTCGGCTAATATTGTTTCGGGAACGAGTGACAAGTTCAGATGAATTTCAGAGAATAAAAAACTGAAGTATCAAAGAAAAATCTTCAACACGCCCTAATGGCTTGATGATTTAATAAATCTAATAACCCGGGGCATGCAACACTGTCGCCTCTCTCTACAGAACGAAGGAATCATTGTCTGCCCACGACAAGGGGTCGGGAAGGGGGAACGTAGGAGAAGAAGAGAAACACTCGTAATGATAATTGCCCAGACGTGCTCCTGAGTGACCGACTATCTCTCTGGTTGGGGATGTTTGATTTGGAAAGCAGCAGGAAGCCCCTTTACTGAATCCCAAATGACTTCAATCGAGGACCTCGACTTACATTTTCATGAACTTCAACAAACTAAGCTTTATCGTACCTGGGATTTAAAAAAAAGGGAGGTCAGCTGGTTCGTATCTTTCATTTAGTATCTTTGCTAAATCTTGCAAATTCCCACTTTCCTAGCTTAATTAGGCATTAAATATAGCTATCTCTTGAGAGAGAGGGAGGGAGGGAGGGAGGGAGGGAGGGAGGAGAGAGAGAGAGAGAGAGAGAGAGAGAGAGAGAGAGAGAGAAAAGGGGGGGGGGTGAAGCACCCTCCACTCCTATTTCATGAGGTGGTTGTAGATATTCAGGAAGGTCAAGATTGACCAAACTGGACAAGTACATACACTTTGGAATGAAGTGGGAACACCCTGTATTTAACCCACACCCACACATTTTCTACAGACTCTGGCCTATTTTTTGGTACGGTTCCATAATATTCAAAAGGTTAAGCAAGCAAGCAAACCCCAGCTCCAAGTCTAAGTTTGAGGTGCATGCGTCCCCCTCTCCACCTGACAGGTCCAATCCTAGGGGTGCACTTGAGGGCCAATTTTAGCTCCTCTCAGCAGGTGTATGATTGACCGAGGGATGGGCCAACTCGCAGGGGGCGAGGGTCGACGGCAGGTCACCGATCGTTCAACAAACTCCCCCACTCCCTCCTACGATTTCGCTCTAATTGATGAATTACATTAGGTCCAAGCCGGCCTTCGCCGTTATATATTGACCAATACATCATGTATCTATGTACCAAATAATATTTAGACAAGGAACACCTTCTTTTGAAAAGGGCTTCCCCCTGATAACCATAACTCGGTATTCAAAGAACAAGGTTATATACCTAAAACCTTATATCTTACTTTTAAAACATCATGGTAAATCAAGAAACAAAGTGGTAAACTTTGAATGGTTATCCAAATTTACTTGTTTTGTGTGTTTTGAACATTTCCTAGTACACTGACAGACTCCATGAATGTAAAATAAATACTGCGATTCCCAACACCTCTGCCATATAAACTTCCCATCTGTAATTGCTTAGATTTCCTGTGCAAATCTCTGAGAGAGGCCCAGCACATCTTTGGGGAATAAACTTATATCATAAAATTAGGGAAATTACCTGCCTCAAAGTACATATCCAACTCCGTTTCTAATAATAGACCATGGCGTTAATTTGAAAACTTCCCCTTGCATCAAAATATATCAAATAGCGTCTATGTGTCCGGGCTCTCAGGAGTATATCGGTATGCAGTGAAGTTTCATTTGCTAACTTTAGATTAAAGCTTTAAAATAGGCTTGATCTTTAGCCTACATCATAGGGCTCTGCATCATTAGAAATTAGAAATATATGGGTACAAGGGTGCATTCAAGCGATTTTTTTAAAAGTTAGAATTCTGCAGAATCGCGATTCAAAATCTTTTTTTCAGCTTTTCATGTTTGCGTTTTTAAACACAATTATTTTTACGACCAACGAAAAATTGCTTGAAATCGCGCAACTGTGTTTTAAACTAAACGTCTTTGAAAACCGTTTTTCTAGGATGAAAAAGTGTCGCACTTGAACGCACCCTACAGATCTTGGATTAAGGCAGTGAGGACATTCCCAGGGTGCTGGACCACAGCAGGAATCTAGTACCAAGGGAAAAGAAACTTAGGACAGTTGCCAATGCTATATAGCCTCCGGGCATTCAAACTCAAAGGACTGACAGAGTTCTAGATCGAGGAAAATTGTTTTATTAATCCAATATTGAATAAGTTTTGTTTGGTTAGAGTATGGATGAATTCACACCCCATCTGGCCCGGTAATGGATGAGTTGATCAAGGAACGATTCCATTTCATAAAGCAGGGTGAGGTGAGAGAGAGGATGTTTTGACCGACTCCCATCCGTGATGGCTTTACCATCTTATTTCATACCGCACAAATGGTGACAAAGAACAAAGCCTCAATGTGACTTTGCTTTGTCCATTTATTCCCTCCCTTACTAAAGCATGAAGTGTGAAGGAATATTTTTTTTTCTCATAGTGAAAACATGTGTTCCCAGCAGTTCAGACAGAAGGTATTGCAATTTATCAATGCATCATAATAATATTCTCCTTTCTGTGTGCATGCTCAGGCCCCTGTTTACCCAAACTTTGCCAAAAATCTAATTTGCTGAAATTAACGAAAATGCATAATTTTGGATGTGTTCCCTTGGTGTCAGCCCAACTGCTTAGATTCCTTCTTCCTTTTTTGGTATGACTTATCTGCTATAGTACATTTTCTACCCGAGTCACTTGTTTGAGGTTTTGAACTGTTGGATTCGATGAGAAATTTATTCCACTTTACATTGTATGACCAGAAATTGAGACTACCCTATAAAAATAGATGAGGATGACGGCAGACATGTCTGGCCTACCATTCACCGCTTCACCGCTCCGTCATCAGACCGATCGTCTGCACAGAAGATTGACAGATTCTCTCGTTCCCCGGGATAAGTGGGCGACTCACCGAGCCATCCATTAGGGACATGCAGGGAGGCCACCAGCAGCCAGATAAATGTGGCATCCTAATTCTGGTAACAGCCAGGGAATGTAGTTAGCCAATTGAACCCCCGCATGGGGGACGAGTGGAAGTATTGAATCCTGGTGGCGGGCGGGGAGGAAGGGAACTTCAGATCCTTCTCGGCGGGAGGGCATAAAGCCATGATAAGATAACTGGCGAAGCTAGATGTGGGTGCAAGGTCGGAAGGGCTGAACTCTTAATTCTGTGGCAGCATACTTCAACCTATAATTCATCCACTCATATTTGACAAGGGAATGTTTACCAGATAAGTAGGCCTACTTGTACTAGTAGTAATCAGGAGGAAGGGGGGGGGGTACCATAACTTCAAGCAGTTTGTCTGTACAAAGTTAAAACATAATCCTGTACTCCTTACAAGCATTTAATATGTTGTCCAGAATTGAAGTACACTAAACATAACAAAGCACTTGATGTACAGTTGTAAACTATTGAAATGATACTGAGATTCACACAAAATTCTCAGTAAATAACTGTGATGAAAAAACAGGAGGCAGCAGCAATTCATCATTTGATAAATTGGAAGTCCACATGGATTCACATGGATCCACAACAACCTTGTAGCACTCGACACAGCATCCTACATCAACCCTGTCACAAGACCCTCCAGGACTGCCCATGCACATAGCTACCAAGTCCTCCGTTCAAGAACTGAGCAGCATAAGCAGTCCTTCTTTCCCAGGACTGTGAGGAGTTGGAACAACCTGCCATCAGAAACAGTATATGCCTCATCCGTCAATGCCTTCCGTCAATGCCTGACGGGAGGCAGCAACTAAGTCCGGGAACTTTTTACTTGCACCATGTAAATAGCATTGCACCATACACCTTGCTCTCGTAAGCACACACACACTCATCAGTCTGCAAGAATCTTCAACTGCGAAGGAGGTAGACTTAACCCAAAGAAGAAGAAGAAGAAGAAGAAGATTCTGTCCCTGCACCTATTTTGATCAAACTTCCTACAATGTTTTCATTTTGGATGTTCCATTCACGTTCATATAAAGCACAACTCGATAGGTCATATAATGATAAATGAGGCTACTGCTATTTATTCGGGAGAGAAAGCCAAGCAAGTGATGAAGCTTACCTGTTGGGTCTCGTCAGCGAGTTCCCCACACCGGAGTCTCTCCTCTCCTTCCAGGGCGACTTCCCGCTACCGGTCTTGACGTTGATTGTCGTCTCCTGTGACTTGGTCCTCTGTTCCTCCTCCTCCTCGTCTTCCTCCTCATTCGATGCCGGCGTGTCGTGCTCGCTGGTGGTGTCCTGCCCGGTGGAGAGGCCGACGCCCGTGTCGTCCTGGTGCTCTACCTCCCGCTTGTTGTGGTTGAAGTCGGGCGTGGTGATCGGGGAGGGGAGGGGCGAGCCGTAGGGTGAGGACACCTGCGAGTTGACCGGGGAGTTGACCGGGGAGGTGACCGGGGAGGAGATCTGTGAGGACGCTGTAGAGGCACTGCTGTCACCTGCAAATACCAAATGATAATATACATTCAAAGTTTTCAAACGTGCACATGCAAGACGGTTCAAAGCAAACAAGAGAACCCAGTCTACTCGGTTTTTACAGTAAAACTGTACAACTTGGTAAACTCTAAAGCACATGATGTAACCTGGGGATCTCCCTAAATACAGATATTAATGACAATGTTGCTGAAACTACAGAAAAATTAAATTCCTTATGTACGTAAATTGGGTAATGAATGAAATTTTAAAGATCTTCTTCATTTCTTTCTTCTTTCTTTGCCTATGTCATAAAAAGGTTGCAATATCATGCAAAAAGGACGCTCAAACTACATGTATGGCCTTGAACTAATCAACACCCATCAACCAAGACCCTCTTATGAAGGTAAATTTCTGTACTTTTGTTATCATCCGCACGCGAACTACCAACCAGGAAAAGCAGTGACATCACTATACCGGTATACCCACACATACCCTCACATCAGATCAATTAAGACCTTGGCAATTCTAAACTCTGAAGGAAACAAGCTGTTTAAGGGCCTGCCTGCCTGCCTGCCCCCTTCAACCTACTTCACTCATTGGCCCTGACATAATCACAACGATTTTGGAAGTCAGGGAAAGAGTTCTTTTAGATGCTGCATGAGTAACGGTACCCTTTAAATGACCAGGGCCCCCGTCTTATTAAGAGTTACGATTGATCCAAATCAATTGTAAGTCCTCCAATCAATCACAAGTTTGCAGTCTCCTATCTCTTACATGTATGTTCGTAGTTGCGAATAAGTTACAATTGATATCAACTCTTTATAAGGAGGGGCACAGATGTAACTGGCTGGCGGGCAAACAGCCTGTATTTCAAATTGTCAATGAAACTAGGCACTGTTAAATTTAAGTTACATTGAGAATATCCATGCAGGCTCTATTGTATAACATTCTAAAATGATTATGGATTGAGGAAAATGAACTTAACTCTCAATGACAAATCAATACTTTCCTTGTGCATTTCATTGATTTAAAGGTAATGGAAACAGTGGGGAAAATCTCACTCAACTACATAGAATTTTTTTTTTTGGGGGGGGGGGGGGGTGGAAGGGGTTCGAGGAGGGGCACTTACCTGTTTCTGCTTTCTTGATGTTCTCTTCCAATTCATGAATGCTCTCGTTAATCCCTGTCAGCAGTCTCTCCAGCTCTGAGCTCAGTCCCATGACCTCTGCTTCCAGCTCCAGATCGACCTCGTTGCTAAGCATGCTCTCCCTGATACCCTCCGGTCCAGCGTTGGGTAGACTGTTGCTGCGATCCCTCTTGACAACCGGCTTTGGAGCCAACACGCATGCTCCTCCTTTAGGTTCCACAAGCTGTTTCTCCTTCATGAGTATCTTACTAATGTTTGTCAAGATGTCTAGTTTCTCAGTTTCCACATCTTGATTGAGGTTATTGTTTGTTCTGTTGAGCGAGACATGTGAGCCGCTGATGTCCTCGCACGTGGAGACGCTCACGCTTCGTCTCGTCGATGGTGCAAACGCAAGTGGGTCATTCAAGTGCCCGATGTTCTTGAGGTTGTAGATTTGCCGCATGAGTTCCGTTTCGGCCACTTCGATCTCAGCATTGGGTAGGTTATCCAGGCTAGAGTGAAGTGCCGGGGGCATGTTGTCGTACATGCTCGGGCTACGTAGCCGGTGTGGAGTGTGCTCATCATCTTCCAAGCTGTTGAGCGGCGATGTGATAAGTCTTTGCGAGGGCCAGTCATCAGACTCGCCTTCATACTGTCCTTGCCAAGAATCATTGCTACTACTACTCAATAAGCTGCGACCCGTCGTACCCGTAACGTTTGAACTCCTCTCCGAGGGGATGCGATTGTCTCTAATGTCCATGCTCACATCGTCCATGTCACTCATAAACACGTCCTCACAACTCTTGCTTTCATTGTTATTGTTGATTTTCTTAGACAAAGCATTTTCTAGGTCTTCGGAGACATCAAGACTGAATTTCCTATGCAACGTGGGCGAACTGGGCTCCGAGAACACCCTTCCCATCCTCTTTGAGGTATTGTTCGACCTTCCATTAGGGTTTCTCCGCCTCTTAGCGGGCGGAGTCACCAGTGAGTTAGCCGGATACCTGTAGGACCTGGCCTTTGCTGTCTGCAAGTCAACACAATTAAACAACTCAATCTTACGCTGCAGAGTGCCATTGTCCTGCACGATGGGTCCACTTATTTCCAGCGTGTCCCCTCCCGACTTGTGCTTCCGCCTGTGACTACCGCCCCTGGGCCCCCTCCTCCCCTTGAGGCTGTCCAACCGCTTCAAAAAACTCTTGGCCCCCTTCATGTGGTCCCTGCTACTGTGTAGTCCATTAAGATCAGATGCTGCATCTTTCCGTACTGAAATTGGAGACGAGATCTGAATAATAGCACTCCGTGGCCCATTCATGTTCCCATCAGATCCGACAGGTGTGGACGTCTTATATCCGCTATTAGAAACAGGCAAGCTCTGACTCGATGGCGACGAGGCTATGTCCGTAGAGCGCTTCACGTACAATTTCTTGACGACAGCTGGACTCTCAAAGCTGCTTGTGCTTGTGTACCCTTCGTTTCGCTCACTGTCTGTCGTCGTGACACTTTCGTGACTGCTGTTCAGCCGCGAGTGCGTGTGTATGTGCGTTGTAGTCGAGTCTACGAGGGGCGACGTTGATAGTTCAAGTTCGGGGAACTCCTCGCCGGTCATTCGTCGCGACCATCGTCGGCTGCTGCGCATGTATTTCCACTTGATACTGATCGCACACTGGTCCTCATCTTCTGATTCGTCACACTGCAGAAATGAAATAAAACGAGAAAAAGAAAATGAAGACCATTTTACTGCTGGTTCCATTATAATCACACAACAATTTCATATCGATAGTTCCACAAACATCCTGATTCTTTTTGGAATAATCAGAATATTATGATGACATGAACATAGATTCCACTGTCACAGCTCACGTAAAACTAGATAATCCAATTTAAACAAGTTCAGGGACACTACAGTTGTAGGTGAACTATAATTACAACCTCAAAAAGGTACATTCTCTGAATGTTCCGTGGTCGCTGTTTACCTCTTGCCAAATCGGCAGATCGCCAAGATGTGGCAAGATCTGCCAGCTTAACGCACTGAGCACATTTTCATGCCTCCTTCCCCAAACCCTAAATCCATGTCATGTGAAAATCCGGGTAGAGATTCATGCTCAAAATGGCAACCAAAGCAATCCAAAACTTCCGAGACTTTGCTTACAGCCCCCTGATCTTCCTTCACCAATTAACGCCTAATTGCTCTCTCGGTGACTTGCGATGTGGTAGATCAGTGAGTCACTCCGCTAAAACCCAATATCAGCTAGGGTTTAGGGAGAATTAGGGGGAGGGTTTAACGGGACTTAATTAAGACATGTAATCAGGCTTAATGTGTCACATGAAATCAATTTTCGTCCATATTCGAGGCACTAATTGAGATATAAGCGTTACTATGCATTGAATAGCCTTTTCCAGGAAAAGTCATTCAGGTTCACACAGCACCCAATATGTACACAATACATTTCACATATGACTTGCACAATGAACATAATTAATTTCCTTCCTAAATCAATTATATTTCAACCCGCATTAAAAATAAATATTCATACTAATTCTCAAATATAACCACTTCATGTTCTGTGCTAGAAATGAGGAGTAAGCTGTTAAGCACCAGACAAATGTTTTAGGGGCCTACATGTATCAAATGTTGTTTCTGTGTTTGCCAAAAAAGTGTGATATTTCCCTCCCATGTATGATTTACCTGGCAGAATGTCAAAGAATGATTTGATTAACAAGTATATTTAGAATTCAACACCCTTGAGTAATAGAAAAATAAAGTGTAGAGCCTAAAAAAAGATAATTTAGCCAATGACTTGCATTTGGCATGGTAGGGTAGTACATGTAGTTGCAACAAATAGGGAGACATACATGTAAATGCAATTTCAGCAAACAGCATATTTTAATGATTTATGTGTCTGCTAGACTCTGCTTACTTGGCAGTCTCTGCATAAGTCATGATTCATCGTGAATCACTTTCACGGAATATCATTTTATGCCATGATCGCCTTGACTGGGCAGAAACTTGGGGGAATACCTGGAAACCCATGGTGAACGAAGGTGGCAATGACAAATTCAGGTAGAAATCAAACATCTGACAGGTTTGTCACCTTGGGGAACTGCTTGTTTCCAACCGAGCATATTTGAACAGCTGAAATTGACATTTCTCCCTAAAATCACTTGAAATCAACTGATTGCCATGGCCAACCACCTGGTTTGAATCAAGTCATTCTGTGACAAAGTAAAACTGCCTGCCCTGCAATTTGAGGGCACATAGGCGTCTTGTAATGAGAGGGTGTCTGAATTTTTGACCAGAGGACATCTCAAAGCTGTCAGATCAATTAACAGAATCGAGTCATGAGGAGTGAAATGAGATGATCTCAGGATACTTTTTTGGCCCCCTTTTGTTTTTTATTCAATTGTGGGAGTTAAATTCCCAAATGCTTTCTTTAAAATTAGATGAGGGTGGCAAGGGGGACTGCACTCTTGACATAAGCCAAAATCTTGAAAATCTTGAAAATCTTGAATCTTGTACTAAACGAGCACAGAAAAGAAATTAATGAATACAATTCATAAGCAAACGAAACTGGGGATATCTAGGTTCCTGCTGCATATTCCCACATCTTTGGTGATTTTCAATTTCATGACTCTGGTTCTAAATATTAATGACAAACCATACTCAATCAAATATCTGTTTTTGTTATCCCTGTATATGGGGGAGGGGGAATCTGTTCTTTATATACAAGAACTCAAGAATAAGTAACTTGTCCCGGGTGGTTAATTAGACATATTCAAAGGAATTTACAACCAAATAAATAATCAGCTACCATAAAAAAGGGCAATTGATTTTATGAGGTTATTGAGCTTTTTAACTACCCAGTACTCTTCCCGATCATAAAGGTACCTGTGTGTATCTCATAAAATTTAGACACAAAAACAAATTCAAAAGCAGTTTAACTCTAGCGATACTATTGGAAGAGTCAGTGTGTACAAACTTAATGTCAACATGAACTTGCAGTATCAAGAGGGTTAACAGCAGAATCAGGCTGATAAGGGATGGTATTTAATTAGGGAAAAGCAGGGAGAAGGAATGGAAGATGAGAGAAGGACTGCATCAATAGGAATCAATTTGGACGATTGCCTCCTCGACCCAATATAATTCTCCTCCTAAAGGTTAGGATGCTAATAAATGGGCCATGAGCGGTTGGGATGTGATTCATGGTAATTGATCATAGGCACAGGTAGGATGGATGAAAATTTGTGATGCTTTCCAAGAGAGTCTTACTTAAAAAAAAAAAATCTTGTACGAGACATGCGGATATCATACCAAGATTGAACAATGTAGATAAACATGTAGATACAGTCTCTACACTGACAAATTCCTTTTTTCATTTATTGCTATTTATTTATTCAAAATCTTCTTATTTCAATAGATGAGGTCACAAGGAGATGCAAAAGGACAACAACAACAAATCTTCTTTAGTAATGTTTAAGGAAAGTGGGGGGGGGGGGGGGCATACACAGCACTTCTCAAACACAGACGTGGGTGGTACAGAAAAAAAAAAATCAAAATATGATGGACTTAACTAAACAGTCATTTGCACTTTTTACAAGGAGTGAATAGATCCCTGGAAATTGTGCAGAATCCGACATCCGATTTCTCTCTTTGTTTGAATATCCAAACAGCCAAAAGCTTGATCGATGGGGATAAACATCCTACAGTGAAAATGCTGAGAAATAGAGATGATTAGAATACTCTCAGTAAACTGAAGATTTTGAGTCTTCAGGTGCCTGGATATAGCCTCCAAGCAAAATGAATGGCTGAACAAAGAATTGATATTCACCCCTCATTCATGTAAAGACGCTATTTGAAAAGACAGCAGGCTTTTGACCATGACTCAACCGTCCCATCGAGGGGGGGGGGGGGTCCACTTTTTGATTGAGGGCACCTTATTTGCCAAATGGGATTCGATCTCTACGTACAGTGTAGTTCATTGATTTACAGCATTAAAACCTCTGGACATCATTTTGAACAGAGATCACTTTCCATTTCTTGGGTTGCTGTTATTGGGAGGGGTGTTGAAAACTTGAAATAAACCTCAGTCCAATTTTGTATCTCTCTCTAGCTCCAGCAACTACATGAGGCTGTAGAATAAGGCTACCTTATATTCATTTTAACTTTGGATCTCATTTCACAAGTTACAAGACGGAAGTAAGATCAGAAATAAAATTCCAAATACAAGACGGAAGTAGGATCAGAAATAAAATTAGAAAAGGTGGAAGAATTGTGAACTTTCCCGATACCCAATAGGATACATGGACAGCCACCGATTATTTTTAGATATCCATCTATAACAATTTTTGAGATTTTACGAGACCCAAGAGTATTGGTACCGTTGGCACAGACTGTATTGTTGACTCTTCCACCTGGCAATGACGCATCATTCCGAAATAACCCGCAAGAGACAATTTCATTACACGTCCTCTACGGAGAAACCAGACTAAATATATCAGCTAAACATGCCCCAGGAGCGTCATTTAGTTCTTTTCCTTCCGATATCTCCTCCATTGTTTTTAATAGACCACAAAGCGCAGCAACAGGACTGCATGCCGAAGAAAAAAGCAACCCTTTGGGGTAAATCTAATTTTCTCTCTAAATTACAATTTACGAGCATGCAGAGACGGCAAGGCAATCCTCCGGTAACGGCCCACCATCTGTACATCCACTGGTAAGGTTGCCTAATGTAATTTGAGGGATGGAAATTCGTCTATTATAAAAGGGACGAAGCCAATGAATTGATTGAATGACTCGTGTGGAGCTCCCTTTAATATAATAAAAGCAATACAATAACGAGCAGTTTGGTTTGGAAGATGATTAAATTCTGTAGATTAAATTTTTCATTCTGGAGCAATAAATATCTAGTTAAAATAGGAAAGCTAAATAAATGATTTATTTTCACAAATATCCTCTAATGCTGAAGTAATGAAAGAGTACAAGGACTTTCTCCAATCCAAAAGCCATTGGTACAAGCATTTTTAAAGATTTGATTCATACCTAATGCCATTGGTCCTCTGGTTGCTTACTAAACAAGCATTTAATATGCTTTCTTAGCAGTCAGGTAAACAACCACCGCTAAACTTGAGCTTATACTTTCAAATGGATATTACTGTTCAGTGTTTAGTAGCAGTAAATCGACAAGGTTCCTTTCATTAATTATCATTCTGAGTTTGAAGTGGTTCAAAATAGAAGATTTCCCAAACAAAGAAAATTTGAAGTATTTTGTTTAGTAGTAGTAGTAGAGTAGTAGAATGGTTTTTTATTAGACAACTTCAAAATGGTAGCTCGAAAGCTAAATTACATTGCAAGTTTTACATGTATTAAAAATCATTTCAACAAACTTAGATAATATGGACAAGTACACATAATACACAGTCGGTTAGATCATAACTTATTACATATTCCCTACTTACAAACAAATTGACGAAACAAATAAAATAGATTCGGCGTTACTTTTTTTCTGTAATCATTGTAAAGTGAGGAATATTCATATTTTAAATATAAATTGAGGCTGATTAATGGAGTTATAACAAGTAAGTACTGAAGATTTGTTTAACTTCGAACCGTAATGCACATTGAATGTCTATAAAGCTACACAATATATAAGGACTTATCATAGAAACATGATTAAACAATTACCGAAAGGGAGA